CTCACTTCGTTTTACTTTACTTCACTTCGCTTTACTTTACCTTATCTTTCTTTACTTTACTTACTTCCCGTTTACCTTTTTCGCTTCATTGTTAATTTTATCCACCAAGAAGAAAATACTGTTAAAAGATTCTTTTAACCTTACATATCATACATACATCCGTCCATACATCACCCACCCGCCCGTCCACCCATCCTTCCCGACTTTACATATAAAACCCCAAGATCAAGGAATTCCAAAAAACAAACGACGATCTCCCATTGCACCACCACCACCACCACCACCAACATTAACTTTCTCTCTCAACGAAAGACTCGCGAAAACTTTAAAGATTACCCGCGGCCGGATACTCACTTATTCACTTGTTGGGGAATATTCTTTTGGAGAATCTAAAGAGGAAGACTTTCTTTCCACTCACGCACGCGTCAGACGAAACTTTCTCTCAAAACATTCAAAACGTTCGTTCAACGTTCAACTTGCATGTTGCATTAAGCCACCAACAAGTGCTGTTGAGCTTATTGGTCCATTTTTTTTACGAATCACTATCATCTTGGAAAGACTCGGAGAAAGTTACGAATCTACGATCCGATTGACTTGTGTCTATTTATTTATCTTATTTATTTTTACTTTTTTTTGTATTTTACGTTACTTTATTTATTTGAGGTGAAGCGGTGGAAAAAGGGTTTTTTTTTATATCCGATATATTTTTATTCGGGGTAGCCAAGATCACGTTGGAAATTTGAAAATCTTGTCAAGTCGGGCCATTCATACATACGTTACGTACGTTTGATACTCTATCTATAGAGATATAGAGAAGGTTCAACGAGGGAATATTACTTTTCAAGACCTTTCCGAAGGGAAAAAAAACATCAACATTATCAATTAATTTCAAAATGGCGACGAGGAATTCACGGTAAGCTTTTCTTTCTACTTCTACTTCCGAAGTTGAGATTTCGTTGTGGTTGGTGCATAGAACGCACGGAGGTATGAATCAGGGGTAAAGGTTTTATATTGGGGAGATAGATGACTGATTTGATTATTGATGATTTTAGGAGAGATTATCACATTGTCGTTTTGGGTGCTGGTGAGTTTCTTTCCCCTTTCCCTTGCCCATTCAATCATTCACTTCAAGGAAATTCCATGAAGAAGGATATCATATGAAAGATAGGATGTTGATGGCTAATTATTTTTCTTTATCTTCAAAGGTGGTGTTGGCAAGAGTTGCCTAACCGGTAAGGATCATTTTTGCTTATTTGTCCGAAACTTTGACCCACTCTCCTCCGGGGACTTGAGGTTGGGGGTTTGAAATTTTGACGATTTCCGTGGGGGAAACCGCGTAAGGGAATGGAAGGAAGATTCGCGTTATAGACAGAGGATGGAAGATACGCAGTGAAGTGCTGATTTTTGATTGTGTCTTTTAGCGCAATTTGTTCAGAATATTTGGATTGAAAGTTATGATCCAACGATTGAGGATTCATATCGGAAGATAATTGAGGTCGATGTAAGTGTTTTAGGGGTTTTCTCCGTCTTGGCGACTGGGTGAAAGAGGGGAGTGGGGAATATGCTAACGAATTTTTGGACGAATAGGGACGGCAATGCATGTTAGAGATGTGAGATTTAGCTTTTTTTAATGGGTTGAAGAATTTGATGTTGATTTAGATGTTTAGATTAGATACTGCGGGTACCGAACAATTCAGTAAGTCTTTTCCTCCATATCACATGATACACACATATAAACTAACAACGTTTCAGCTGCCATGAGGTACATACAATCTAATTTTAAACACTTCCTTCAAACCCTCCTCCTTTTTCAAACTCCCACTAACTCACTTCTCTTAGAGAACTTTACATGAAAACCGGTCAAGGATTCCTACTCGTCTTCAGTATCACATCGCAAAGCTCCCTAAACGAACTCAGCGAATTACGCGAAACTATTATACGTATAAAAGATGATGAAAATGTTCCAATAGTAATTGTGGGCAATAAAAGTGATTTAGAACAAGATCGAATGGTTAGTAGACAAGTGGCTTTTAATATTAGTCAAAGTTGGGGAAATGCGCCATATTATGAGACGAGTGCTAGGAGGAGGGGTGAGTTTATTATTTTCTTTACTTGGAATTCGTGGGATCAGACTGGTGAATTGAGGCATAGGATCAGATGTAGTAGAAGAAATGGCTGGGTTTGATGAGCTCTGCTAATAAATCTGGAAAATAGCAAATGTAGATGAAGTCTTCATAGATCTTTGCAGGCAAATTATTCGTCGAGATAATAATCGATCGACGCCGGAATGTGATGATGAGGTTCATTCGCCGGTTGATAAAAAACATCATAGGATGAGGAGGTTGGGGAGATGTGTTATTTTATGATTTTTTGTGTTGAGGGGTATATGATGATGGGTTGGTGGGTGTGGGTGGATGTGGTAATTTGAGGATTTGGGAGGGGGGGAGTGAATGGGAGGGGGGGAGTGAAGGGAAGAAAGAAGGAAAGAAGGAAGAAAGGAAAAGATGAAAGATGGAATTGGGAATTGGGATTTGGGATTTGAAGAAGCGCTCTGTAGTTGCTTGATGTTGTATAGTTGGATGTGGATAGTGGGGTAGCGGGGTAGATAGGATAGTAAATGGATGGAGTGTTTGGAATGTGAGCTTGGAATTATGGGTTTGTGTATGGAAAATAGGATGGATGGATATGGTATGGGTGGACGGGGTGGATGCTATTTGAAGTAAGGCGGAAATGAGAAATAGATGGATATCTATCTAGTATTAGATAGATATTATGATTTACCTAGGTAATTAAAGTCTTAATGATGAGATGTTATAAGATGTTTAGAAATGAATATGAGTATGAGTATGATGAGAATAAAAAGTCATCTTTAAATCTAATAATCCTAAAATTTTCAAAATTCAAAATTTTATAAATATTTATATATCATAAATAAAAGTTTAAAAAGTTTAAAAGAGAGAAGGATAATTTATTATATATAAATAAATAAATAAATTTTGGTTTTATTTTTATTTTTTTTATTAATAAAAAAGTTTATAAAAAATTATTTCAATTTTTTAAATTTCAAACTTAATATATTCGATTAAATTTATAATATGTTATATTTTCAGATTTCAAAATAAAATATTATAAATTAAAATTTTAAATATAAAATCATTAAAGAAATACTTAATTGGTACGCCTGGTAACAGGAAACTCTCACGTGCAATTAATATCACGTGACTGGCTCAGTAAGGATCAGTGAGCTCAGTACTGAGCTGTTACGTAGTAACAGTCAACCTGTCCATATGAGCTCAGACCCCGTGGAAAAGCAAACCGATTCACATACAAAATTGTATGGTAATCGGTTCGTAGAGTCTCCCCACCTTCAGCAAGCACAGACATATAGTCTGATCCAAGTCACGTGATGGACCCTGCATATTCAGGGATACGAATCGTAGGTCCACAAACTCTCAGGATCCAAGAGATCCAATGGAGGACGAAGGTCTATATAAGCAGGATGGTTTCCTTTGTGTAGAGCTTCGTGCTCAAGATCAATCATTTAGTATACTCTACTATTAGTTACGAATTGCATATCATTATTGTCATTACTTTAAGTCCCTGCTTGACGCCTAGTTATAAATCACCTCGAGAGCCTAGAGCACTTCCACGTGATCTAGACGGCAAACCTCGTAACAAGTACCTATCTAAAGATCTAAAGTATTTTATATACATAATACAATTACTCACATTGTATCTGAAAATTCGAGATCTTATCTACCTATCTACTGCCTAGGTACTTATTATTCTTTCGAAAAATATACAGATTACAGAGTAAACACCAATACAATACAACCCAATATCTCAAGTGCAATATATTAAACAAGCGATACCTGGTAAGTCTTAGCTTAAACAATCCTAACCAACCAATCAAATCATACGTACAATATTTCACGAATCCCAAATCCTAAATCCTACTGTATTCCTTCCTCCTGATTATACTAATATAAGCTTTTGATACCTACCTACCTACCTATACCTAGAAATACTAGGATTCAAAATTTATAAATCTCTTCTCAGGGGAAGAAAATCGATGGATTTCCGGAAGTACGGTTGTCAGCCGCGGCTGACATTAATGGCGATGGAGGAGGAGCTGATGCGGGTAAGGTTAATACTGTTTCGTTATGGCTTTTCTGGGCTTTTGGGTTGATTGTAATTTGTAGGGGATGTAAGGTTGTGATGTAGGGGAGGAGTATGAGTAATGGGAGAGTGAAGGAATTGTAGGTATGTAGGTATTAAGTAGGTAGGTACCTAGATGTGGGTATAAAGATGAAGTAAAAATATGGTAGAGATGCAACCAGTTGATGTGAAACAAAGGAATAGAACCAACAGTTTCTAATGTCTTATGAATTACATATCTCGAATACTGAAAGTCTAGAACGTCACCATCCTATTACTAACCCAGTCTACAAATATTCGTCATATTAATCTGTCAAGTAATTGTCAGCAGATCAACATTAACCTACAACCCAAATGATAGATTTTGACAAGCTCATAAACCCAAGATGGCGGGACAAAATAAGTCTTCATGGCCATTCAAATTACCCCGTCGACCCAACAATTTGTTTGTATTATACCCTTGTATTCCTGTCTTCTCAAGCCTTGTGTAAGTTACGTGAGTTTTTAGAAAAAAACCAAGAAATTTGAACGAGGGTTACATCTTCCGGTTAACAATCCTTGAACCTAGAATTTTCTTAAAAAGGACTAGTAAATGGGTGAAGCTTGCATCTGCAGGGTTCTAGTGAGATGTGGGACAGCAGCTTTTTGAGCCTTCGAGCTTTGTTAGTCTTGTTAGTCGGCGTCAAAGCTCCCTTTTTTTGTGTTGCTTCGAAATAATTTCTCCCCCGCACCTTTTCCCATCTTTTTCATCTTTCCCATATTACCCAGTTTTCTTCCCCAATAATTTTGTTCCGTAGCCTTCGTTGGACTTTTAGTACGGAGAAGAGGCGAGAGAATGAAACGGTCCCCGCATGTAGGACGTGCGAGAGAGAGATCCATTATGAGTCTGTGTTAACTATTTGGCTGTCAAGATCCTTCGTGATATAAGAAATTCCTTTTTTTCGCTTGGAACTCGATATGACGATATACTTTAAGATATTGATCTTCCTGGACTGGGAAACCTCCGTTTGAACTTCGAAACCGAATGAGGAACGGATAAAGTTTTAACTTTTGAGACATTCTCACGGATTGCCACTCCGTTTATCAAATCCTGGAGAGCATTAAACTCTCTAATGGGGGTTTCCTTGCCCTTGGAACCAATCAACCTGTCACTCATGCTAAGCGTTCATCGAGAATCCGTTTAGTGTAACGGTAACAAACACTTTTTGCTCCTGCTCCTGTTATCACTCGTGGCATCCTAGCTCAAGGTTAATCCCCCAGAAAACCATTGAATGCATGTTGCCTATACCTGCAAAGAAATGGCTGATCAGCAACTTTTGTGAGACACGAGACCAACATATGATGACGATGAAGAGTTTGGATAGCACGCCAACAAACGGTTTTCCCATACTCATTTGAGGGTCCAACAGTGGTATGGATAAGTTCAACATCTCGAAAGTCTACAATAAAAATGTAAGATTACATTTGTCCACCGTTTGAATTTCTAGGGCTACTAGAAAGACGGAATATTCCTACACCAAAGCCAGTGGAAGTAAGCGTCAAAGAATTAAATTATCGGAAGGGTATCACAAAAGAGAAGAATATGAAGGATGAATTTCTTTATTATCCGAATTGGGACGAATCGGAAAAGGAACCAACTTTTTTCTATCAAAGTTTCCGAGAATCGACTAGTTTCACAACCTCGAGATATCATTATTGACAATCATTGGAGATTCTAGAGGCGTCGTTTGCTCTGCTTCAAGGGTCCAAGGATATCCTGGATTTTTGAGAAGGCTCGTCAAATTATTGGTTAGTGATCGGAAAGAAGAAAAGGGTAAAAGGGGCAGTGGGTATGTACATTTTAAGGTAGGGTATCCGATCGGCTTTCAATTGATTTCGGTTTCCTCAAAAGGCAATAATGCATATTTTGATTTGATTTCTATTTCAAGGGAAAGAGGAGAAGAG